TTCAAAATAACTGAACACATTATTTTAGAAATGCACTTACAATGTAATACCGAAATAGATTCCAAAATGATTTCATGGACCAATTCACTTCGGTTAAATCATATGGAGTTTACAGAGAAATACAGTGCGACTAGAAATGTTATGTCAACAAAACAAGAAGAAGTAAAATAAAATAATTATGGATAAGATAGAACTTGTATTTATTTAAATAAATATAGTATAAAAGCTTGTGAAAATTCGATTCGATGATAGTACTGCTATTAAATGTATATTACACCAAGAGAAATCGACACTTAAAATGTGGTAGATTAGAATATTGAAATAATAAGTAAAAAAATATAGTAAGGAAAATTTGGACTCCCTATATTCAATATGTTCTAAAATGTTTATAAATTTAGAATGTTCTCTATTACATATTGTTATCTTTATTCTTTAAAACATAAAATTCGAATTTTTATTTAATTTCAATAAAACTTTAATGTACACTTTTACTTTTAGATGGTATAATGTTAATATATCACCATAAGTACCTAATTACATATTAGGTACATATGGTGATATATTTATTATTTAATTTAATAAAATTTTTGTATTCATTTTCGTAGACAAAAATATTTAGATTAAAGTGACTGCGTCTACTTCAGTTTGCTGATTTTATGGGTTACAATGATCGCTTTCATTTGCAGCTGTATTGGACACATTTCATAAACTTATAATTTTTTCGAAATATTATTAAGTCTTAAATTTATGACATTTCATAAGATATAAATTCTATGTTAGCCACTGACCAGAACACTGAATCGATATAATTTGCTGGCAGCCGTTAATGAGGCTATATGACACGTCAGATTATCCATTTTAGTAATCTATACTAGAATGTGTTGTTAATTATGGGATATAGACTGGTGTCACTTTCACTATTTTTACACTTATAGGATATTGAAACCATCTATGAAAAAGCTGTCTACTAAAAGTCTAGTGTTAAATGTGTTACATTGTAATGATAATTTATAAATAAAGATTTTTGTTATCTCATCTTTAAATATTATTTTGCCTTTCTTTAAGTGCAATTACAATCATGTGAGTCGAATGTCCATTTGTTATTAAGTTACTAAAAATGTATTTGACAAGCTTTTAAAAAACATAAAAAAGCATAAAACAGCAGTAAGAAATAGTTCTTACTGATGTTTTATGAGCTGAACGTTACTCTAAGAAATAAATTTTCTAAACGTAGAGTTAGACCAAAAAATAATGAGTACAAAAGAACAGTAGGTGCACAAGATTAAAAAAAACTAATATAGTAACTTTCAGAATTGTTTCCAAAAACAGGAAAGTGAACAAATAATAAAAGTTTAGACACTTATTATATAAAATCTGAAATAGAGTATAACAGAATAAGATTTATTTGAGGAAACTTAATTTAAGTAATATTTTATCTGTGACTTACAATAGGTTATCCTGGAAAATGTAAAAAATAAAACTTATATTACTAACTAAGTTATTACACTAATAAATATTATTCGTTATTGAAAAGTCGTATTACCTACAACATTTTGAAGTCGAGCGGGATATTATGCAGGTAATAAATAAATCTCCAAAACTATTTCTGAGCCGCACAGTCGAGTCAGCTTTATGCAAACTTAAATAAACCTCCGCTTCTGTTTTCAGCCTCCGAAACGAGATAAAACAGGTTCAAGAAGTTTAATGAGTAACTGCTTTACCAAAAGCAAACTTAGACCCACTTCTCACCTTATGGGCAATTAACTTTGTTTGCAAATAAATAAAATAACATGTACACGTATACGATGTGCAAATAATGTGCTGTGATAAGATAATATTACATATCCTTACTAATATTATAAACGCGAAATTCTGTCTGTCCTTCGCGCTTTCACGCTAAAACTACTATACCGATTTAAATGAAATTTAGTAAGCTGATAGTCTAGACCCTGAGAAAGGACATAGGCTACTTTTTAATGTGAAGAAAGGATTGTAAGGGGTCAAAAAGTTATGAAATATTATATGTAAGTATCATCATTTTTCATGCTAGAAGCGTGAAACTTATTTACGCTGTTGATTAAGTATAAATAAATGGGACATTCAGCTTGTAAAAACTTTACACTTATGGGGGTAAAAATAGCTTCAAAACCAAACTTTCATTGGTTTTGAAGCTAGAACGATGAAACATTTTTCTTTTGCCTTTTTGGATTAGATTATTATTTTTTTTTCCTTTTAGATCTTGCAATCAGTCACATGGACTATAAGCAGATGTGGTGTACCGTCTGTAACAGGTAGAGTGCCGCTCTCAGTAGAACAGCTCCTCGCTCTTAAAAAGTCAGTCCTGTCTGACTATCTTGGTCAAATATATCACGTCTTTTCTTTAATCGGCGCAAGTTATATTGTAAGTTGCCCAGCGAATTTATTTGGGTGCCTGTGTAGTCGTGATTTGTATTTGTTGCTGTAGTCATCAATTACATCCTTAACCATGGGGATATCAAGTAGTTTGTGGATCTCAGTTGTTTTTATAAACCATGGTGCATCCGAAAGTTATTTCAATATATAGTTTTGAACTCGTTGTATTGTCATTATGTTGGAGTCACTAGCAGAGCCCCATAGTTGTATCCCATATATCCAGATTGGCTTAAACATTGCCTTGTAAATGAGAAGTTTGCTATCGATTCTTGAATTTCTAAAGCATCCAGTAGAGACTTCTATATTTATTATTTATTTCTTCCCTTTTCATTTGGACGTGCTTTTTCCAAGTAAGTCTGCGATCTAAATGCATTCCTAGATACTTAACTGTATCTTGATGTGGAAGTTGGATTAGATTATTAAATATTTTTTATTTATTCGGTCAAGGTTTCTAATTCACGCGGACACAGCTTGTTATATAATAATAGATTGAGTGTTTACCTGAGTATACAATAAAATTAAAATTTCGTGATTAGTTTAATTTTTGTCTATATATGTATAAAGTTATTGGTATTGTTGTAATCATTTTCTGATTTAGATAAGAGTTATTTGCGTAATAAATGACTTTTAATTCCATCCGGTTTTAAAGTATAATATATATAATGAATAATTAATTAAATAAAGTATTATTATTAATTCATTTATAAAATAACTATTAGACTTAATATGAAATACTAATAGAAACTATAATAGTTTCTATTAGTATTTCATATTAAGTCTTTTTCGTTTAGTCTAATAGTTTTTTTTTTAAACTAGTTGTTTCCCACGACATGGTCCACGCGGAATTTAACTTTATAAAAATAAAAAATAATATAAATAAAAAGTAGTCTGTTATCCTTATAACGTAAGTTACTTGTGAGTAAAAGCCCCTTATATGCAGATAAGTCTTAACAAAATCGGTCCGGCCGTTTTAGAGATTAGCAATAACAAAGAGACAGACAACTTTTATGTATTTAATCATTCCTTTTATTTTAGTACTACTTAGTACGTAGTAGTAGTATAATTGTGAAATTAGAAACAGACGCTTCATATTTATTTATTTATTTTATATAGGTATAAATAAAGGAAAAATAATGTGTAGATATCATTTTTTTAAAGTACTTTTCTTTCTTATAAATAAGGTGGTATAATCTACAACGACAACTCATTTTGAAATTAGTTACCGACAGTAATCTAAATGTCCTGTAGGTACAACTTTAATAAATGTATGTACTATAGCCAAACAATCAATTAAAACGTAAATTAACACAACTTCCATTCCATTTGAACATGACTATGCTTTTTCGATATTAATTGAAGTAATAAACAGAGGTTAAACAGAGGTAAATAGATCGGAGCCTGTTTTCCAATACAGCACTCATAATTCCACAAACCAACTAAAATAGGTATTCGGTACTCGTATTTTATAATTGAAAGTTGATATTAATTTTAAACTGGATTTTAATGAATTACTATACAAAACTTTCTTTTAATATATTTCACATAGGGATATGATATACAACACAATATTGCACATCGTGAACTGCTTTTTGGTATTGACAATTTCAGTTTCTAGCTTAACACTTTCTTTTTTCACACTCTTCTTTAATTCCAATATAAAAAAAAATCAATTGGGAATTGACAAAATGTTCTTTTTTTCAAATTCTGATGTATGTATTATATGTACAATAATAATTTATACAAATAAATTAAATTGGCGTGTCTGTTTGTAAAATTGAAATAACCGGTTTTTACTACATGCATATGAGTATAAATACGGTATATACACCAGAATAACATTTTTTTACCATTTTTGTCTGTCTGTATGTTTGTTCCGGCTAATCTCTGAAATGGCTGGACCGATTTTGACGGAACTTTTTTTGGCAGGTAGCTGATGTAATAACTGATGATGTAACTTAGGCTACTTTTATTTTAGGAAAATAAAGTTAAATTCCACACGGACGAAGTCGCGGGGACAGTTAGTACATAATAAAAATGGAACATCAAAATCAGACTAATCCATATAAGTTAAGCATTGTATAAAAGTGTATCTAAATGGCTTTACTCAATAATGAAGAACATTATTGTACGTATAAATAAACCTTTAAAACTCAATTTGTTGTTATAGAACTGTGTCGTATTTTTCATGTCAATTCTCGTATAAGTCATATCTCAAAAGTCCTGCTACCGCCCGCTGTTCAACTCATGTCGATCTGAGGACCGTTTAAGTTATTCATTATTAATTCACCATCAAAATGATATAGACGTAAAAATAAACAAGAAGCTTTTTAAAAAGACTCTTTCTATTTATAAACAAAGTTAAAAGAAGCTGACATAAACTCAATAGGTAGGCAAGTGATATAAATTATGCAAAAGAAATGTAAATATTATTAAAACTATCACGTGGTGCGACGCGCACCTCTATGAAACGGATTATGCTATGCTACAAAATGTCAAAAAGCAAAAGCAAGAAGGACTAGGGGCGGCGACCGCGGCTTGTGGAGGGGAAAGTGGGGAGAAGGGGAGTGTGGCCGCCAGTTACTCGCCGATCGCCGTGCCGCGAGCACGCGTTGTAATGCGTACCGCGTTTTGACGCGACATGGCCTCGTCCACGACCGGTAACATCGTCGTCGAGTGGTTGCGATCCCTACATTTGGGCCAATATTCTGAGAGTTTTATAGATAATGGGTACGATGACTTGGAAATATGCAAGCAAGTCGGAGAGCCAGACTTGGATGCAATCGGAGTTCTTAATCCTACACATCGCCAAAGACTCCTGCATTCTATCAGATCCTTGAGAGAAGAAGGTGCTGCGGCTGTCTATTTTACATTGGAAGAGGCCGCAGCAGCCAGAGACACCTGTAGATGTGAAGAAGAAACCAGAAAAGAGCAGGCAACAGTGGCAATAGAACCTGCAAAATACGCTGATGAGTACGAGGAAGGCAAAGCTGAGTTAGTGAAAATACCACGATTGCAATTAAAGCGTCTGCTTCGGGAACGTCTCGCTCAAGACGGTATTCGACTAAGCCTGCAGCCGTATTCAACAACGGTCAGTGTTTTGTTACCCCTTTATGGTGGGCAGTGCTCTCGCGGTTACCACGTGACTTGTGAAAGTGATGTTATGATGTTGATGAATGAACTTGTGCTGGGAGTGAGATGTGTTTTGGAGTTTTTTTTAATTTGACCCCGCGTAGACACTGCCTGCATATTATTTATTTTAAATAAGTCTGCGTGTGGTGCGGGCGTCTTCGGCTGCCCGAGGCGGATCGCTTCTCGGGACGTGTTGCCATAAAGTTTGTTGCGTGCGTGATTTCCCTCGAGATGAGGAGTTTGCGCGCCTTCCTGTCGTGAGAAGATTGTAATCGCGTGCCTCCCGGCTCTAAATTGGGTTTTACGATAAATCGCATAGCCTGTTTCAGCTCCCTGAGGCGTTAATTAGTAATACAACTTGTTCTGACACGAAACAATGATCTTAATCCTTTAAACCAATTGCAATGTTTTCAACGATTTGAAACAGTTGTGAATTAGCTTAATATTTTTTAAATTACACTGATTAGGCTAAATCAAATCAGAATGCATTATAACATAGGTATATATTAATACTTATAAAAGTATTATCTATAACATGTTAATAAGTATACCATATTGATAAAAACTATTAACTAATATTATTTTTATTTATAGGGACTAAACACACATTCATAATAATGGATTATCTCAGAATAACTAATTAGTACATACATATCCGTAATTACTATTATTTAATGTATAATAGAAGGTAAATATAACGTAAACAATCCCATGATAAAATAATTTCCAAAAATATGCTTAGATTGCAGGAAGTTAAAAAAGAATATCTTCATCATATGGGTGGAAGCCCTTTAGTCGAAATTTTAATTGAGGTGTTATTAATTATTCCGCTCGGTAGTGATTAAGAGGGCGGAATATTATGCAGTAGGAACGCCCTTTGGTGTTGTGTAAATAGTTAACACTGTATTTGACTCAATATACTTATCGCGCTATGATTATTATTTTCTTTATCATATCGCTGATAAAAGAACACCAACTTGTATGGTAATATTACTAAATATTAAGCTTTTTTATTCTAGAAACGATCATGTCCATAAATATTTTTTATGGCTGACCATGTATTACCGAACGAAAAACACTTACCTTCCTACTGTTTCTTTTTGTTACTTGGAGAATTTCTTTGTTTTCAATCTCGTACACAATGCATGGTTTCTAATAATTTTACTTAACAAGTCGTCGTCGGAAAATGGTTACCACAATGAACAGCACTTACATTGTGGGTCAAACAAGAAAAACATTTACAACGTGGAAATACGTTGTTCATGACAATACTAAATAAAATAAATAGTAATATTTGTAATATTATATAATCGTACGCTTTAAATAAATATACGACTATTTATATAAACAGTCTACAAAGTAAAAAGAAATATCTATTATAAGAATTAAACAAGTTACAGTGAAAATAGATTCTGTTTTTCAATTACTCATGCTATTACACTTCTATATCGGATTCTGATGCGATGAGCCTACCGTAATTACCTGTGATGATTTTTTACCGGTTTTCGGTCCCCATGTTAAAACCTGTTCAAGCTCAAGTGCTCCAAGAATCCACATTGAACAGTCGCTCGATGGCACGCCGGCAAAAAAAGAATCTAAGAAAGCCACTGGCATTACAAACGTCCAATGAAGTCGACTCAGTCTCTAATAAGAATACAATAAATATTTATTATATTAAGTTTATATCCCTACTTTAAGCGCTTTCCATAATGAGTTTATCAAGTATATATTTAAAAGAACTAATAATAGGAAAATCCATTAAACAACAAATAGAAATTTCATCGACGTAACCGTCCATTAAAATTTCAATAATGGTAGCATTGCTCCCATAAAAGGGCCCATTTGTATTAATTTGGCCACTATTAATCGAACGCAATGTCACCACTGATTTATTTTAAACTTATTATCACCGCTTTGCACATTGTGTGATCGATACACCCCCATGTATACCTGGGAGCATTCCTCTAACAGTTTCAAGCAAACACAATACTCGGCTACAGTTTTTTCTATACACCATTTGTAAAGCGATTACTGCCGGAACTGTGCACAAAAGTTCTGACAAATTTCGTCGGGGTATCGATATCCCAGTTCCGACTAATAGGCCAATATTTATGTTTTGTTGTCTCCATTGTGCTCGCAACATCCGCTTTTAGTCAGTAATGTCAGGAATAGATGCCAATAATTTGTAAAGCTATGCTGCGAAGGTTACGGTTGAATTATAATAATGTTAAGTAGGTAATGCCCTCTGAAAATTCGTAACTGATATATTGTGCTCTATCTTGTGCATTATGATCCATCACTTCCTTTATATTGCTAATTTTATTAGAGGGTTGGTGAGTTGCGGATGTAGCGGATTATATCGACATTAGCGCCTCTCGTTGAGATTTAGTACTCGATTTCGTATTCATTTTTAATAAACGTTTCACCAAACCAAATTAGTAATCATAAAATTATATGTTCTATTCTCTTTTAAAACATAAAATAACTTAACAATACACATGTTTATAGTATTTATAAAGATGTTACTCAAGTTTAAAGAAGTAACATTTAGAATGCTACCTTTTATAAGTAACGTATCCATTTACTGATACGGAGATATCAAGACGACTTAAATGCCACGCATATTTTAATGGCGGTAAAAAAGATATTAATGTGTCGATGTCGGACTTCGGTTTAATCGGTAACGAAAAAGGCGGTGTTAGTATATTCAAAAGATATGGGGAACGGCCCAGCGGACTGTTCTAAGTTGAAGTAAAAACTAATGTTAATGAATGTTCCGAGTGCTTTGCATAAGAATTAGTTTATGCATGTAAATGGAAAGAATATTCGAAGGTTAATTGGTGTTATGTGAACGAAATGAGGAAACAAGAGAGGTTAATCAAGTTTTATCTCGCTTTTAAGCGTTCATATGACATGTTTTTGGATACAAACGATTATTACTTATACATTAAAAAGTATCTTTCTCTCAAGCTTTTAAATGTCAATTAAATATTTTAAGGTTAATATTTAGTTTAAAGCATTTACCAACAAGAAATATAGTCTGCATTGTATAGAATTCTATATGAAGATATTCAGCAGACATTAGATTGAAGATAGTGCAAACGCAAATTTGCATTCTGCATTTGCGTAAGTAATGCGTATTAACTTCTGACTAGAAATATACAATGTAATTTAATATAATAAAGACTTAAAATTATATTGAAATTAATAGAGATCATAGTGATGATTATTATATTCGTTTTTTGCATGAATTTTGTTTTGACGTCATGCATGTGATGTACTATTACATTGTCTAAGTTGTATTCAATGTATGTTACATTACGGTCTATATTCGTATATTTAATATTTGCTTTAATTAAAATTGCAGTCCTGTACAAAACTCGTGTTTACACTGAAACAGGGTAATATTAGCTTGGTGGGGTTTTTCTACCTGTTCTATCCTCGTCGCTTTGTTACGATGGATGTGTGCGAAGTCACGCAGTGTGGGCTAAGCTCCTTGGTATTCGTCGGTTGCTTCACGTTTTATGGGCGCCTGGTTATTTTACCCCTATAATTTAACTTTGTAAAACTATTCATATTGTTTTTGTGAAGGTAATTTTATGGGAAGTTATAAAAATTATCTATTGTTTATAATAGTAATAATAATTATATATGTATGTAGGTAGTCATATAAAGTTATTTCATATTCATTCTTGAAGGGCTCAATAAAAGCTAATAAACTTTCGCTTTAGGTTCTGTTTGTAAATAAGGGTACTTACATAAAAAAAAATTATCTGTCTATCTGTGTTTTGACAGTTTATTTATTCTTGCTAATCTCTGAAACAAGACTGACCAACCTAGGTTGGTTTGACGGGACTTTCACTCGCAAATAGCTAATGTTATAATAAGTTAATTAACCTTTATTCTTATTTTAGATAATTTATTTTTAGCAAAAGAAATTAAAATACCACGCGTACGGAGTTGCGGATAACATGTATTTGTTATAAGAATATCTTCTCATTTTGATTGTATGCTAAAATAAATCTTGTTACATACGTACTCATATCGTACACAATTATTTAGAATATCTGACTTTAATGTTTTGGTTTCAATATCAATAAGTTAAAATTATAATAAATATTTATTAATTACTTAAAACAAAGTCAATAAATTACTTATTAGAGAATTTAAAAAATGAAGAGACATTTATTTCTGCAATGACTATGATTTCTGCTAAGACGCGCATGATGGTACATGGCAACTATCGTATATATACATAAGTAGTACTACGGATATCTCGTTATCTTGTGATGCTTGTGGCGTCCTCATGCTCCTCGTTGCTATTCCAAAGAAGTTTCCTTATTCTAAAATTAATGCATACTAAATGAAAATATTAATGACCATAATTACTGTCATAGGACGAGCTTTTCTGTAATTTAATCGCAATAAACAGCTCGTTGATTGGAGCCGAAATTTTGCATACACGCAAACTTCTCCAACAGGGTCTAATAAAGACTAATTAAATGGCGACCCTTGTTTGTCGAAGTTACTTAAAATAACAATTTTCCGTTTCTAACTTTACGTTTGTCCTAACTCGAATACGAATTTAAATCTCGCATTAACGCAAGGTTTTAATTTATATTCGACTATAGGAGATATTGGAGAGTCGGTGTTAATTAGACACAATATTATAATACTTTACATAATGGAGGTATGTTAATATTTAAATTTGTCGTTTAAGAATTAATAGACGTACGAGCAACTGTGTGATAATAATGTATAGTACGGGAATGTTTGTGTCAATATTTTTGATTAATGTCAATTGTGTACATTATTATCTTATACACGATTATTTTTTCTTAATTCTGATATTTATTTATTACTAGCTGCTCGCCCGGCTTTGCACGGGTGTAGGTACATGTATTATATATATAAACCTTCCTCTTGAATCACACTATCAATTAAAAAACCGCATCAGCT